ACACACGCGCGCAGACACGTACAGGCACACACACACGCACGCACACACACACGCACACACGCACACACACACACGCGCGCACACACACACGCACGCACACACACACGCACACACGCACACACACACACGCGCGCACACACACACGCACGCACACACACACGCACACACGCACGCACGCACGCACACACGCACGCACGGACGCATACACGGGCACGAGCGCACGCACGCACGCGCGCGCGCACACACACACACATACACACACGCACGCACGCACGCAGGCACGCACGCTTGCACGCAGGCACGCACGCTCGCACGCACTCAAAATAAAACACACACGCACGCTCTCGCACATACACACGCATCCAGGCGTGTGCGCGTGCTCAAGCGCTAGCAAAGGCGATGATGTACTCAATCGCATGTTCACAGATTGTGATGTATGCTGGAGAGACATCTGGTGGCTATCCATCGTCGGGTTGTGGTGGAACTCTCATTAATAGCCGTTGGATTCTAACAGCTGCTCACTGCACAAAGTAAGTGTCTATTCTTCCCGACAATAAAAAAAACCAAAATGACTTTTCTTTTCTTCGACGAACTTAAAGTCTCTTTCTATATATAAAGGAAAGTTGGGTGGATGAGAGTCTTCGATGAGCGATCGTGAGGTCACTGAAGCAGTAATTATGTTTCTGTAATTCTAGATCGTAACGTCAATAAATCTTGTGTAGAATTACACATATCATAACGCAGACACCCATGAAGACATTCAGTTTAGCTAGAGATATCGGCGTGTGAGATATTAGCTCGTGTAAGACAGTAAATTGCCTCTATAGGTCACACGTCTACTGTGTGTGTGTGTGTATGTGTTTATAGTGGCAAGAGACCCGCCGATCTACCCCTGATGGTTGCTGGGAGTCTGAATCTCTTCTCCATCGATGCTGGGCAATATCGATGGGTGAGTGAGTGAGTGAGTGAGTGAGTGAGTGAGTGAGTGAGTGAGTGAGTGAGTGATTGGGTGAGTAAGTTTGGGTGGGTGAGTGAGTGATTGAGCGAATGAGTGAGTCAGGGAGCAAGTGAATGAGTGAGTGAGTGAGCGAGTCACCCGCATCATTGTTTGCTAACATTTAGTATTATGTTTGCAACGAGTGGTTTTTTCCAGACGGAAAAAGTTATAACTCACTCAAACTTCAATCCAAATACTTTGGAGAACGACATCGCTCTGATAAAGCTGTCGGCTGGCTTCACAACTGACAGCTATGTAGCGCCGCTTCCCATAGCAACGAGTACGGCGGACGTTGGAGGCCAGCTGATGCAAGCCAGTGGTTTTGGCACCACATGTAAGAATGCGTTACAAGTTCCTATCGTAAACACTAGACCGATCCACCACCAGCAATTTGTGTTGTACGAGTCAAACAACGACCAGTCACGCAGCAGACTAACTATATTGAATGACAGGAATGGCCCGAGTAGACTAATGCATAGACCATTTAAGAAGCAGATACAGAGAACTTAGAGTAGAAAGTAGAAGATAACTCATTTTAATTACGCAATTAATAACAACATTACTTGACTAAATTTAATTCGTCATGATAATAATATGTCTATTATATATTTCTACAGCAAGCGGAGGAGCCATATCCGATCAGCTTCTTTATGTTCATCTTCCAAGTCTGACTAACTCTCAGTGTACCGCTGCGTACGGTAGCGCCTTTAAGTCCGGCATGCTCTGTGCAGGAGAAACCGGAAAGGATTCTTGTCAGGTAGGTCGTCTGTTAACGCACGGTAGACCGAAAAAGCGAGTTAGCCATAGTGAAGGGAGAAGAGTGAGAAAGGGAGAGGAAAGATAGTAATGTGTGTGTGTGTGTGTGTGTGTGTGTGTGTGTGTGTGTGTGTGTG